TTGGGGAGATTTGAAGGCCGCGAGGACAAGCCAGAAGTTATGGTGTTAGGCCAAGAGTTCGGGATGAACAGCGGAATCTTGGAATAGAGGTAGTTCCGGGAGGCAGGCTGCGCTGTACATAATCAAGTTCCTCATTTGTCCCGGAAGGACTGACGTCTGAGGCCTCGTTCATCTTCTTGGAGACGGTTCTTTGGGGTGAACCAGGCAAAGGGGGTAATTGAAATCGTGGACAGCGAATTGGAGGGGTTCTGACTGCCAGAGGGTGAAGGAGTCGGACTAGAATCGGGTTGGAGAGAGTGATGTCGCTTCCTAAGCAGTGGTCATTGATTCTGATTGAAGGGAAAGGTTCTTTCAGGGTTCTTTGCCACCTCAACTATCACTCGTATCTTCTGTCAGTTATTCCCGCTTGGATCCCTCCAGGACCATAGCCTTTATGTCGACGCTTCCCTTAATTGCGGTACAGGCTAATAGCCAGTGGTCGCTGGTACTGGTGGGTAGACTAGAGACGATCTGCTGAAGCGATTCATATATTACCTGGAAGCTTGGGTTTACAGAGATATCTGAACTTGTATCTATTGGGATAATATAAGGATCATTCGCAAAGCATATAGCCCCGATTTCACTTTGATTTTTTTTTTCTGTTCGACATTCATTACAATGCTTCAGTCTCCCCGCTTACGATGCTCATCTATCAAATCTTAAAACCAGCAGCCCTGATCCCATTTTGTCTCTAAGCGACGTCTCCTTTTCCACTCAACTCCCCACCTTCTTCAAACTTGCCATTCAGCTCAGCTCGTCACTGCACTCACCACCCCTGGACCACCCCCGCTAACACTATCAAAACTTCACACGCCGACGGCTCCCCAAATCCTTCTCTTTCCACATACCTTACCACTAAAGACAGGGGTGCTTCAGTTGTGGGTACAGCCAAGAATACTTCGTTCAGCAAGTTCTGCCCTTTCCAAGCTCTCTGAAAACATTCGAAGTTAACATCAACCTTTCAAATGACTTTCCATTCTTTGGCTACATCGACTCCAGTGCCATATGGTAATACGCATATTGGTGCGGGCAAGTAAATCTGGTACAGTCGACCTTTCTCTCTTTCTGTGACAAATTTGGCATCAAGCGGTCACGACTTCTGCATCGTGGTCCCGCCGAACTCCTCATTGCAGGAGTTACACCGGAGGTTGTTGGGGTTATGACTTTCATTATTTACTCGCGTCGCTTTCAGAACCTCATTCCGGTTCACAGCTCTAAAGCTAACTCACCTTCCCAAATCGAACACTTGAAGCAGACGCCTAATGATTCTGGTTTCTTCAATCGAATATTGCGCCTACGACGCTCCTGAATTCGAGCTATAATTCTTTATGTGCACCTTCTGTATAGGCTCATTACTCTGTAACCGTTATACTTCCTTTTACGATTCGCTTTATTCTTGTATTCTATTTCCTAATTTATTCATGTGCATCCTCAGCTCTATCTAGATTCTGAAGAAACAACAATTCAGAGATGTGTCATATACCACCGATCATGTGAGTCTTGACCGCGACGTTGCGACGCGCCCAGAAAAAGTTGAAGGTGAGTAGCAGGTTGTACGTTAGTCGTCCAACCTGTAGGTAGTTTATCGAGTTCATAAACTTTCTAACTCAAGATAAGTCAGTCCAAGTCCCGGACTGCAGACTCCAGGACAACCGTTTCAGCTCGGTTTCACTCGAAAACTATGGAGATAACCGACGTGTTTATAATCAAAAACAAGTAAAGACTACATGGTGAAATTCAAATTTTACAATTAATCAAATGCCATCTCGGATGGATCCCTTCTATTTCTTAGGCGTACTTAGGGAATGCACTGACTGTAGTAAGGGCCTGAGCTCTGGCAAGTGGATCCAGACGCGCAACTGGTCGGTCCAGAGTAGCCAATACCACCGCTAGAAGAAGTTAAAAATTAATTGAGAGTCGCGCTGAATGTGTTTGGAAACTTACCACTGGCCCCAGACAGTCTGTGTGGCACTAGGAGGGTTAGTTCCTGTTGGGCTGGTTCCTGTTGGCTGGGTACCGGTTGGACTGGTGCCACTGGTACTGTAAGTCGATCCGATAGCACCGACTTTGATGTTCGAGTAGATGACTTGAGCATTTGGAGACTGGGATTCAACCGTCGCAGGCACTCCAGAGCTGGTCGCACAGGTGCCTCGGAAGTCACCGGGCTTGGTGCCGTCCCTAAAAAATGCATAACATCAAAACACGCGCAATATACAAGAATAAAGCTCCCTACGTCGGGTAGGTACTGTCGAGCCAGAGCATGTTCACAGCATAGTCATCCCTGTTCAGAAGCACTCTTAACCATTATGCAGAAGATATTGGCAATGACACGTACCACAAACTGAGGACGAGAACCATTCCGTCGTTCAAAGCAGTTCCCATTCCCGTAAGTCCACCCTTTTGGTCGAACGTGTCCGTGTCGCCGAAGGCAGTCTTTTGTTGTTGGCAGAATTGTGTACTGATCTCGTTGGTAGCGTCAATTCCAGCGATGTTGGTCATCGAATTTTGGATGACTTGGCCGTTCTGAACGTATAAGCGACGAATGGCGGAGAGAGTTCCCGAGGACTGGTTGTTAGAAGATATGAACTGAGTGACGATGGTGAATGGCTTGGTGGTGTCGACTGTCATGCCAGGGCCATAGAAAGAGGTGTCTCCGAGACGGTACGAGTTGAAGTCGCAACCGGCTTGGTCACAAACACCTGCTGTAGAGTTTGGAGAGGAGCATTGGGTACCAGTGCAGGAAGTCTGCTCAGTAACAGTGCAAGGGTGAGGGGTTACAGCAGCCGAAATTGAGTTAGCTTCCCAGATATCCATCTCGGCGCAGCAGGAACCTTGTTTTCGTTGTTTAGTTTCAATACAAGAAAAGCCACGAAAAGTTCTCCTCACCCAAACTACCTGTCCTGTGAAGCAGAGAGAAAGATAATCAGGAAAAGATCGTTTTGAACAATTCTCGACTTACCCAGTGTTACCATTGTTGGAAGCAGGAGTCCAGTCATTGATGTTGGCCTAAGTACAAGGAACACTGAGATCGTGTTGTGCTAGAAAGAAAATAAGACTAACCTGGCCATCAATGAACTTGATGTCGTGGGGACACTGAGAGTCACAATATCCAGTTCCGAATTTGGCGCCGGCTTTGTTGGTCGGGAAACGAGACTGGACAAAGAATTCTCAGTTGAAAAATACTCGTCTGCAAGTCTGGACTTACTGTTCCACCATCTATGTCCATCTGCGAGAAGTAGACAGCGCCGTTGAGACCACAAGGCAGCTGAGAAACATCCACGTCGAAAGTGAACTCTTGGTTGATAAGTTTGAATGACTGATACTCGGTGGTAGACCCGGGGGCCATGAGGTAAAGACGAGAGCCGACATTCTTCTGGGATGATTGAGTAACAAGCTTGAGCGTCAAAGAGCTCCCGCTCGCAGTTACACCGTAGGTGCCTGATACAATGCGTCAACAGAGCCGCAGCAATTTACATTTTTTCAATAATCATGAATACCTGGATAGTCTGCACCATCAAGAGCACAATTTGCCGCACAAGTAGTAGGGTCGGGGCAAAGAGTCGCGTCCCAAGTGTTGCCCGTGTAGCACTGATAGTTGTACAGAATCAGCCAAGATGTCTCAGATAGGGATCAAATGATGATTTACGTTTGTGCTGGAGTTAGTAGCATGAGTCCATCGCCAGTTAGCGTCAAGCACAACCGCGGAAGTCTGGGTAGTGCAACCTGAAGCGGTACACTGTTGCCAGGTGAGAGGAGGATGAGTTTCCGCAGTAAGCGTTCCCGGTTGCTGACCGTACGCAACAGCGAGGAAAGTGAAAGAGATCAGAGCAGCAGAGCGAAACATTGTGAAATCCCTGACCAGGTGAAGACCAATGGAGAGTCATTCTCTACAATACGACGACTTATATACCATGCGCTGTGCCCGAGTGCACTCTCTCTTGCACCAATTTCTCCGGAAATTGAGCAGGAGCGTAGTAAGCCCGCACATTTTCCGAATAGGATATGCTTTGTTGCGGTCAGAACCAGAGCTTTTGGGAAGTGAACAACCGTACGTCAAGCTACACTTTTTCGGATAATAGTCGCAAGTTTGAGAAAAACAGGGAGCATTTCAGAAGATGCTTTGAGTAATTTATTGGAAATATATCAGACATCGCAGCTCTAGAGATTCCGAGGATACAGCTCGTGGGCAGTTTCAACAGCTGATCGTCGAAATTGAAGTAGGCACCGGAGCCTATATTGACGTTAGGTTCAGCGCCAGCTCAAGTCGTATGTACCACTTACTCAGCCTTTCGAAATGACTGTCGCTACCGCCTACAAGAGCAAAATGACCACTACGATAATAGTTCCAGTCCAATGCTGCAGTCGGTTCCAGTAGTTTGAGGTATATAGTCGACGAAGATCTGATCAAGAAGTTCAAGTCAACAATCGCGTTGCGCGATCACATGAATACCATTCAATTGTGGTTCTTCGGTGCCGTGTAATGATCTCTCGGCTTGTTCAAGGCATCCAAGAAGTTTTTCTTTTTTAAATTATTCCTTGAACGGTGAATCACAGCGGCGTCGCTGAATCGACGGGAACTTGCCCTTCGGCGACTTTTGGTCGAAGATCTCGCAGTTACAAAATAGGTCAAGGGCTAGCGGTAGTAGTTTCGGTGCATGTGCTGGCAGGTCAGTCGTTGAAAGTGCGGTGATGATAATTCTTATGTCGGAAAATTTTTGGAGTAATACCACGAAAGGAGTTAAAGATCAACTCCGTCACTTCAGTGACAGAATACATGTTGAGATCCATCCGCCTCTACGTTGTGGACTGTGTCCAAGAGAAAGCAATGCAGACCAATCAATTTCAGATAAAAAAAACAAGCCAAGGTCAAGGTTTATCCCGAGAATGACGAACTCATAGCAACAAACGGTAATTGGAACAGTAGCAACGAAAAAGAAAAGAAAATAAAAGTTTAACAAAAACGCTGGAAGCAGGATTTGAACCTACGCACTCAGAGAGTAATAGATATTGACTCATTCAAATCTATCGCCTTAACGACTCGGCCATTCCAGCTCGATTAAGGGGGCCCAACATGAATCTAACACTGGTCCCGCCGAGTTATTCCCTACGAAGTCTGCAGTAAGTCCAGCATATCCGAGAGAAGTACCTAGGTTTAAGCTATCTTTCATGCAACTTTCATCCCAATATTGCCAGGGTCAAAGCTCTTTGTCAATTTCAGCGACAAATTTGAGTTAAAACGCCACAACATCCTTGAGGGTGCACCAGGCCTTGGCAGGTAAGTAGCTGAGGAGGCTATGAAGTCGTCTGTGCAGTATCATTTGATACTAAATGAAAATTTCATTATATGACATCACCTCAGATCTCTCAGGGATAGATTTTCTCCGAATGAGCGATTTCCTTTGTTATCAAAAAGTCAAGCAATGACTCGGAAGAAAATATCAGTTCGCCGACTTGGTCCCGCGCCTGTGGTAATTCTGTTACCCCGATGCCAGCATTTGACATCTTTGGAAAAAAGCATCCTAATTGGGCCTGAAAGTTCTGTCAAAGCCTTGATTCTGACGGCGCTATATTACTTGCTAACCCAGTAATGGCTCGCGGTAAAGGACGGAAAGACGACGGAAAAATGCTCAGAAAGCCGAATACAATCTCTCGGTACCTCTTCGGTTTGGAACGTTTTGGGCAGCAATTCGTCCGTCGAAGGAAACCTACAGTCCTACGTTTCGATCACTAACAGTCAGCTGGATCGAAGTTCAATGCAAGAGCGTAGCCATTGAAGCCAAAGAGGCACGTAGGCCGCGGTGGCCTCGAGGCACACGCCATTGAAGAACCATATCAAAATATCAGAGTACAGTATCAATTATCAGAGCACTCAAACTTCGCAAGATTGGTTCCAATAATTCAACTGAAGCCCCCTGTAAGAGTCTCGGAACAGTCAATATTTCCAGCTTTGGCCATACTCAAAAAGGGAAAATGTATACAGCAACTAGTGCTCGAGTCCAAATGCCATAATGGAAGATGAGGGAAGTAGATACGCAAGCGATGGCATATACAAAAAAGCAGAGATTGAGAAGATTGTAAGCAGAGTTTACAATTACATAGTGATAGGAACAGGTAATGAGAGTGACACTGACAACATACAGATACAGAGGAGGGATAACAATGTGACAAAGGTCGAGGCAGATTTTACATAGATGCAAAGGGACAACGATATGATGACTACCAAAAAATGAAACAGGAAGCTATAATCCACGAAAATCGACAAAATTGTTAGTAGGATACAAAGGGGTAAAAGAAGGTCGAAAAAGAACGAAGATGGGATGTCCTCAGGAAATTGACGACTGTGACGCTTAGGAACGATTCTTTTTCTTGATAATCATCAGCGCCCTTCGTAAGCGTGCGCGACCAGCACCTCCAACGGGCTTCTTTCCGTCATTGATGTCATTGGAAGTAGTGACAGCAACGGAAGTTATGTGGGATGAAGAAGAGGGGAGATTTGTGGCCGAGGTAGAAGACAATGACTTCGAAGGAACCGGAAAGTTGTTGTACCGGTACCTCCGCGTGAAGACTTTGCCTAGCGCGGTAATTCCTTTTTCGTACACATCTACTCCCACAATTATACTTGCCTGATCGACATCCCACCGTCTGACGATGTCGTACGTTCCTTCCTGCTTCAGGTGGTTTGGGCACTTTTCTCGGGCCCAACGGATGTTGATTTGCCTCAGCTCAGGGTTTGCGCTCTTGAATTTCCCTTTAGAGGTACCCCGAATGATTCTTAAGGCGGTGCGTAGCATGCTTGAGTCGTCGCCTATGTACTTGTGCCCCTTGGTGAGGGAGAAGGTTCGAAGATGAGGGAGGAGGGGAAGATGAGAGGCAAGACAAAGGAGAGGTTTCTAATGATAAAGTAAGGTTAGATCAGGCACCGGCGTTTGACCGAAAAAAAAACGTACTACTCCAAAACTAGTGGTACACATAAAGTGTAGCTCCGTTAATTTTGGACAAGCCTCCACTAGGGCCTTGAAAAACGTGTTGTGATCATTAAATTCAGGTATATGTATCCACAGATCCAGACTTGTCAGCGACGTCAGCATCTTCAGAGTGGCGCAAACGCCCTTCTCGCCTTCTAATCGTCCAACGAATAGTGGTTCGCACGTCAGATCTAATACCTCTATCGAGGAGAGAGCTGGCTGCGGGAGGGCGGAGAGTTGCTGATGCACTCCTACAAATGTGCATAGGCGTGAAAGCGCAGTGGGTTGCAAGGGAAGGGGAATAATGTCTGGCGACATCCATCGTTTGAAATTCCAGGATAAACGAAGATACCTAAGTTCAGTGTGTTTGGACAAGAAAGCTCCAAACGCATCGTCGTTGGCAGGAGAATTTAGCTCGAAGTCATCATTGTACCCGAATGAACCAAGAGTGAGCGAATTTAACTTGGGCCAGTAAGCATCGGCAGTGCAGAGCTTATCGACATTGAGAAGACGGGTTGAAGAAGAGAAGGAGCTGAGGGTAAGGTCCTGCATGTCAGGGCATTTCTTGAGAAGCATGTCCCATAGACGGTCGGGCAGGACTTCTTGTTCAGGAAACAGGTTGGTCTCATCGAGACTATGCCGTACAGTTAGAGAGAAACTGGTCAATCCAGTAAAGTCAAATAGCTGTACCAGACGACATAAGAACGAGCGATAGGGAATGACGATAGACATACGGTGCTATTGGGATCCAATGGCTGATATCCAATATTACTATATACTGTCTTCAACATCGGACACCTTCCAAAGCTTATCAGTACACTCCTGCAGCACAATCAGCGCAGCTTACTTGTTCCTTAACGTCACCCAGAGCTGATTATTCGGCATTTCCAGCCCGTCCCAATCTGAAATTCAATCGCACTCATAAATACCGAAAGCGGAACTGAAGAAGATGAGAGGCGAACCGAAAGTGTGGAGTAACGGCATGTTCTCTGCAGACTGGATGAGCATATCGCATACCCAGTACTCGTCTAGATGCTCGTTTGCTTTCGGCCACGCAAGATAATAATTTGGCCGCACTGCCAGCTTGCGGATGTAGCGACAGATATTGGGTCTTTGGACCAGCATCGTGAGAGTTATTTTACAAGCATGACTGGATTTTAGGACTACCGTGTCGTATAACACTGGCATGAGAAGGGTCCTAACATACGAAGACTGTTATCTGCTCAGTCCGATAATTTGTACAATCTAACGTAGAACTTACAGTCAAGCTCAAATTGAGAAGATCCGATGAGCCCAGATATTCAGAAAGCTCATATAAAATGTCTGCTGGAAGACCGTCGCCGACTGAAAGTCCAGTTGACCTAGTTTCGGTGCTACGATTCCCAAGCAAAGGAATTTGTAACAAAGACTTGAGGTCACGTCGAGTCCTAGGCAAATCCATCTTTCGGAAGCTGGAACTGTTCAAAGACATTAAGGGCTGATAGACGAAGACCGGCTCCTAGAAGGAAGGAAGAAGAAAGAGGAAACGAATTCAGCCTCGGGGTAGTCGCTGGAAGCAAGCCACGAAATAGCCGCCCGGAATCACGGGCTTATAATTAAGCGCCTGAAAGTAAATTCAGTGCTCACTCCGACACGCCATGATCGTCCGTCGTCGAATACCATTCAAATTCGGACAAGCCTCAGACGAGGATGCCACTATATTAGATGACCAAGGCAAGTAATACATCCCACCTCGTCGCCCGTCGTTGACTTCGGTTCGCAGAACAGGAGGCGTTAATTGAAGATCTTCGAAACGAGAACACGAAATCCAACAAGCAATCAATAGTAATGATGCAGATCCTCTGTCTGCTGTCTTCAGTCCTGTACGCTACTCCCTACTTTGTAAAATTTGTTCTTGATGGATTTTACAGCCATCTCATCTACCTTGTCGACCCCACTGATGATCCTCTTCTCATCTTATTTCCTCAGCATTCCAAGAGTTCTATGGATGACACCATCCCTCTTCCTCATCCGTTCACTCTTGTTTCCTTAGCACTTCATGTCAATCTTTTGCTTTTGCTCGATTCCATCTCAATACGTAACGTACTGCTCCGGATTGGCATCGGGCTGGATGACAATGCAGACTTTCGGCTCTACACCCTCTCCCCGACGCTTTCTTATACACTAGCCTTTGTGGCTCCTGCCGTTTGCCTGTTTCTTAGACGCTCCTGGTGGACCGTTGCTTGGTGGTCTATAACTGCGCTGATCACATTTGCTGTCCATTCGGTGCTGGAATCAATAGCCAGCGGTAACGAGCACATTACTTCCTTAGAAGCCATGAGGTATACAGCGCCTGGAGCATGAGAGAAGTCAAGCCTTCCAGGGTCTCCTTACTCAGGCAGCTTGGACTGCTTTGTGTCTCCATGGCTGTATACAGCCTACTTTGTCCACCTCCGTTGCTCTGCTTCAGAGATCATGATCTCGAATCATAAGTACCATGGTCCAATATGGCATTCTTATATAGGGTACATTGTACATAGATGCCGTACTTATTTACAACGAGATTCAAGCTGGGAGATTGGCTACAAAAAGAATGCATGATCTACGAGCACAAGGTTGAATCTAAGGAACCGAACCGGACGGCAACTGAAAATCAAGACTTAAAGTTCGAGTCCGAAACCCCAAAGAGAATGCAAAATGAGATGATGAAAGGATTGTCTGCATGAGAATAAGCAGGTTTGAGCGTTAAATAGAAAGGTGACTGTGACTGTTGGAAGACGGGCGTGTACCGTCGCGCCCGTGCAAACCATGAACATGGTCTGCGATCTGCGCAGGATTAGGAGAAGGTAGTGGAGCAACGTATTGATTTTCATGATTTGTCAACTTTTCAGGATCGCCAGTGAGGTCAAGATTGGTCCAACCCGGCTCACCGCGAGAGGCGGGGGAAACATGCACTGGTCCATCTCTTTTCCAGAAGCACCACGCACGAAGAACGTCCTGCAAAATAATATTCAATCGTGAAGCCTTCGGGAAGAGCTATGAGTACTATGCGTACTGCTTGGGACCCAAAGACTAGGAAAACTACTGTACCCGCTTTTTGGAAGTGTA